CAATTCATCTGAAGTTCTCTTTTCAAGAAGGGCTGAAGAATGCTCTGCTCACTGATTGATACTGGGATTCACTTTGTCAGAGTTCAAATGATTCCTAAACTTCTGAAAAAATAAGGGACTCAGATTCCCTGCCTGTTACTTCACCAGTCCACTTTGTTTCAAGATAATAAGCATTTTAAGTACAACACATTGCTTCTAATGTTAGAGTCTTTTCAAGTCCCATACCATAAACAGTCAGCATCTTCAGAATAGGTTTGGGAGCACATTTGGCTGAGCCATTCACTTCTCTTTCCTTGGCTACAGGGGTCATCGCAGCACCACTTGCGGGCTGGTTTCCAGGGAGGATGAGCACACCATGCCTGTCAGCACAAGCTTTCCTTTAGGGATGTATGCATTTTGAAAGAGGAGAAATTAAAATGACAGATTATGCCATTTTATCATTTCAGCTAATGAAATATGGAAACTTGTTTTTGTGTCTTACCTCACAGTCTGAGTACAGCAACTCCCATTTCAGCATGGTATCAGAGGCTACACCTATACCAGGAAACTAATCAGGGCTGGCACCCATTCTATGGCCCAGTCAGCAAATGGCATACATAGCACAGATCCAATCCACACAGCGAGACAGTCACTTGTCTGGGATGGCCTCATCCTTTCTGACTGCTGGGAATGACCTGGTGGCCTCTGCCATGCCCTGAGACATGCCCAGGCACTGCAACAAGGACAGCTGTTTGTTAGGGGCAAATGCCAGAAGAGAGATGATAAAATAAAGCAGACATCCCAGCCCTGACAGTATTCCGTGTTCACCCATATGGATGCAGCCAGACAGACGATCGCAGATGCTGTGGCCTATCTGGGGACCCAACTGCACCTGAGAGAGCATTACAACCCTCCCAAGTGTAAATTTTTCAAAAGGTCAGAAAGTCGGAGAAATCCCCTGACAGGCACCATTTCCCAAAGGCAGATGGGAGGAGGATTAGCTGAGGATGCACCCTCACAACACCTGGCCCTAAATATTCCACCAGACCAAGCGCTTTCACAAGGTCCCAGCACAAAATAAGAGGGCTCTCCTCATTGCAGAGTTCTCCCATGCAAAAAGGGAAAGGTTTGCCCAGGCTTATTTAAAATCCCCTCATGGCATCAAGAGAAGCCTGTGAGGTGGGCAGCAGGAAAGAGAGGCAGCAGCAACAGCCAGGACTTGCTCTTTTGGTGGGGGAACCAGACCTGCACAGCAGCTTCCAACTCACAGCCCCTGGGCCTGGCAGGGACTGCCCTGGGTGAGGGTCCAGGAAGTGCTTGGTTTACCCAGCTTCAAGGCTTTGACAACAGAAAAGCTTTCTCCTTGCTGGGTTACTTCCTAGAGGTTCTGATTTTGCACAAGGATAAATTTTTGTTTTTCACATTAAAAAGAAATGAGTTTTCAGTCACATTGGATTTTGTTCATGAAGAAAATGTAAAGCTGTCTGATTTTGTGCAACTGCCAGGAAGCTGCTGAAAAACTTTCGGGTGCCTTTAGTAACCTTCCCTATAGTTAGCATGCAAGTTCATCAGCGTAAGACCCTAGGCACAAATAAAAGCTTTCATCATCTCTTTCTTCTTTTGGGAAGTGATTTCATCTCCTTCTTCCTTATTTTAATTTACAGATTTTGAGACAGAGGAATTCACATTTATTGGCCAATGATTTCATTTATTTAATTCTCGTTAACTTCAATTCTTGTGTTTCTCAGGAGAAAAACATGAAAGAACTTGATCAAATTTAGGAATGCCTACTTAGCAAAGTAAAAACGTCATATTTCTGATCTTCATTCTCCCTATGCTCCCTGTGACAGTTCCACCTAAATTGGGCTGCAACTGCAATTTTCTCTGCCATAACATTGCAATGACTTCCTGAAAACTGGTGAATGATTGTCAAAGTTCATCCAAAGTATTTCACAAACACAGAAAAAATTTCAAGAGAAAACATTCAGATTACATTAATAATCTATCCAGTAGCCAATACTACTCTTTACCTGTCTAAAATGTCTTTTTTTTTTTTTTTGCATTACAATTCTCATAAAAATAAAAGCCTGTCTAGTTTTATGACAGTCAAATCAGTGACATTCTAGCAATGACTGATGCAACCACCAAGTCATGCCTACAGATCCCAGATTTTTCAGTATTCACTGAATGTTTGTTTTTGTATGCGAGAGTTTATATAATTTTTCTCCATCTGAATACCACAGTGTACAGAATCACAATTCTCAAACTCAGAAAAAGAACTTCATACATATTTTTAAATGCATCAAAGCATCTATCAGTAAGAAATAAATTGTTCTACTGTCAGAAGGTTAGGAATGGATTCTCACAGCCAGGCTACAGTGTATACATGGGGCAGACCTCTCTTAGATGAGAACAGGACAGTTCCACTATGCTATAGTTCATTACAGGTATCTAGTGGGAATATTTTCACTGAATGCTTCTAATGTCATACTTGATCACAGTTGTCCCAGGACTCACAGCTGGTGTCTCATATAAAGAAGGAAAATAGGAAGTCCTGCACCAGATATAATGAAGCATAACAAAAGACAATTGCATCATTGTGACTCATGCCACAATGTTTGTATCTACTTTTTACTACAGACATGGTAAAGCAGACTTAGTGAAATATTCCTCATTGAATTTGCTAGTTGATTTAAGAGCTAACCTAATCAATCATCTATTGACTAGTGCCAATAATTCAGAGATGGAGATCATGAGTTGTTTATAGCATTTATGCAGTTAACCAAGACTAACCTACACAACCAGCCACTTGTGGTTAAAGTTCTAGGAGGTAAGAGGTCACTAGACACTCCCCAGTTTCTAAAGTTCTAGACAGGTGGTAAAGAAGGGAGTGTATAGCAGAGTCATGGCTTTTATAGTCAGGAGATTTCTACTTACAAGCTAGAAGTTCAGAGATCTACTCTAAAGTGGGAAGAACCACAACCACCACTCATCCCCCCAAAAAATAACCAACACCAAATCAGCTTTCCACCTCACCCCTTAGAACAGCTCTGAAAGATTTTGAAACAATGGTTGAGGTGAAGAACAATTGTGTGCTACCAGCAGAAACTCCTTTAACATTAGAAAACAACAACAAAAAAGTCATAGATCAGATTCTACATAACTATACAGAGTATGTATATTCTGTATCAGTCGTTAGGAACAGAACTGACCCATCTAAATCAAATACACGTTCACTACGTAAAGACTTAAGGACACTAATTTACTCAGATAATGGTTACTATCAAGGTCTCTAGAAGTATGCAACTGAACTTGAATTCTTTAAAATTGTACCAAATTTGATATCAAATCCTCTCTTGGAAAGTCATCCATTATTTAATCCAATGCAGCTATTTTGAAAATCGTGCCTAGATAACACATCCTATCACACCCAAGAACAGATTGCATATGTTTTTAAAAGCCTTGTGTCAATTATACATGTCAACAACACAGTAACCAGTAATCATGCCTGCCCTTGGCAAACATTCTTTTAAGAACTATAAATGTGCCAAGCACTGCAAGCTGCATCTCCTTACTCCAACTCCTTTACTTACTCAGCTGCTGGATTTCTTAAAACTTCCAAAGCAGCCAGTGCCAATTCCAGTTCCTAGTTTGTGTATATAAGTTACTGAGTTTTTTAAATTTCCAATCATCTTTAAGATTAAAACAATTTTTTATTAATTCTTAGAACATACTGAAATGACAATGGCATTGAGTTCAACTTCAGGTGTTCTTTAGGATTATAGATGGACTTTTGAGACCATTTGATGTAAAAGCACAAGGTAACGTGGAAAAAATAAAAGTGGAATAGCAAAGTATCTTTATCATCGTAATATATTTACCTAAGTATGTAGTTATGATTAAAGAGACAGCTAACTCACTGTGTAATGACAAGAAAAACATCTGCCTTTCAGTGCGTATAAAGCTACTTAAAGAAGAGCTGCTATTTGCTTGAGAATAAATTTAAGAGCCTAGATTCTTGTTAAGCAAAATAGAGAAGCAAATATGTAAATGAACTGCTACATAATTGATACTTGAAGATGTTTTCATAGCATTTAATACTTGTCATTTTTTTGATTAAACATCTGACAGCTGCTCAGGAAGATGTGATTAAATTTTTCTTGGGAATCCAATTACTTGTAAAGCTTTCTTTTACAATGTATTTTGCAGAATACTACACTGTAAGTAATCTTATTTATATTTTTTTGCATTTCTAATTAATGGTAAGTATACCAAATTCAGGATTAATTTGTGCGCTTATTTAGCCCCTTAAAAAATTTGACTTATAAAATCTTGCAACATAATCAGAGAGCCCAATCATTAAAAGGGATGCTGTGTTATTAACTAATTGTCTACACTTACTATCTATAGTAGTACAATGGGTTATATCATTGCCTTCTAATATATTTTGACTGAAGAAGCATCATGGGATGTGGTCTTAATGCAATAGCTGCAAGCTCGCATGACACTGAAGAGTCCTCAGCACCCAGCTGTGTGCTGCACTTATTCTACTCACTTCTTTAATTTAAGGGTATAAAGAGGAAAACCCCTTTTATTAAGACTGACAGTGAATTCAATTGCCATTTCCTAGTCAAACAGGCGTAGTCTTCAGATCATGAACTGGAGTTGGTTAGACTCATGGCTGCCTTCAGATGAAGTCAGTCCTTCTCTTAAATACACCTAGGTCCTGTTCATCTGGGAATAAAGTTTTGTATGTGCAGAAGAATCAGAGAGGGTAACCAGGGACTGAACATGTGAGATGCTTTGTTGACCCACAGAACAAGGATCTAAGCTTAGACTGATCAAAGTCAAATCCTTCCTTCCTTGCTCAAATACATTGTCATGAATATGGTACATACTTGCACTGCCCACTAAGTCACACTACTAAATAAAACATTACTATGTTTATAGCTAACTTTCAAGTCTCAAAAGGAAAAAAAAAAAAAAAAGAAGAAGAAGAAGTAGTAGTTATGAACGTCTTAGTGAGAATAGAAAGCCTTCAGGAATTTGCTGTAAAACACTGCTGAGGATGATCTGTCTCATCCCTCAAGTTCCAGGTTAGCTGCTCAGGAGAAACACCACCACAGCAAGAACACCCAGAGCTGCTGGGAATGGGGTGGTGCATGTATCCAGGAACAAACACAGCAGCTTGTTCTCCATCAGCTTAAAACAAGATAAAAATAATGATTTGGGAAACAAAAACAAATATGACATGACAGCAATTTATTGGTATTCTAAAAGAGCCTGTATTCACAAGTGATCCCTACAGCATCTGAGCATCACAGACCACAAATGAACATATTGCTGCCCTCCTAGGTAGGGAAATATAAATTGTTTCACAGGTGGGATACTGAAGCATAGACTTAATTCACTGCATGACTTACATGATGATTTTAAACTGAAAACAAGTGACAAAGCAAAAAAATTGAATCCAGGTTTCCTAAATCCCAGCTCAGAGCCTTCAACACAAGAACACCCATCCTGTGCAAAAGTGGCTGCATATTTCTGGTACTTCCAGGTGGAAGTATTCCAACAAAAAAAAGGAAGTGGAGAAGAGCATGAAAAAATGAAACAAAAGTAAGTGTTACCAAAGTTTGTGTGTTTTTGTTTTTTTGTCTTTTGTTTTTTGTTTTGTTTTTACAGCCTCAAACTTGGTTTAAATTGAGGGTAAGTCTCTATAATTTTTTTCCAAAGCAAGTTTATGTCTGCAGAAAAGCCTATGAATTGCTATCTGAATTTTATTTTTAAAGCAGTTTAATGATTATATCCAGAAATACAAAAGAGAGGAAAGCAATTTGGAAGTTAGATAATTAGGGTTCAATTTTATGGATAGTCTCATAGGAATTTATTGCCTAAAGTGTAGGATCTTCTGCCCAGGACACAAGTTTCCCGATCGTTCCCTGAACTGAACTAAGAAATGAGAATGGAAGAAAATAAATCATTTTTCAGACTTCTACTATCATGACTGTGCAAATGTTGTATTCTTCTGAACAGATAACAATTCTGTGGGGCAGAGAAGCTCATCTCTGACAGTCATTGAGTTCAGACCTGATCAAGCATAAAAACGTGGTCACAAACATAGCTGATTGACCAAGATGTTCATCAGTTAGACAAATAAACAAACAAAAAAAATCTTGAAGAAAGACTGTGTGTAGTGCTTAATGTCATGCAACCCCGCATTTCCCTAAAAACAGATTCACCATCTATTGAAAACACAGCCAAAACCTTACACCGTTTGGATAGAAGCTTGTTTGCATCCTATAGTGTAATTACTTCAGCTTCCAAAAGGCGACAAGTGGTCAAGGTAGGTGTTGTTTTTCAGTTTGGCACCAGTCTCCCAACAAGACGAAAACAACCTAACAAGACGAAAACAGCTTGTGGTAAATATAATAGCTGGCTGCTTGAACAATAGCAATTAGGACAACAGCCTAAATCCTGTGGTGTCTCTGGAAAATGCGTGAATGGTCTTGCTAGTCTGCTGATAAAGAGTTTAAATTAACATGTATTAGCATCCCTAGGAGTCCCAAAGCAGACCCAAAATGAGAAATTTTTCAATTGGTGGTTCTTATTAAAACAGAACTTTAAAATTTTCATTTTATGTGTGCTCTTGAACGTGGCCTGAAGGACAATTAATCAGGTCGAAAATGGGCATTTAGGGGGTTGGAGGAAGGTCAGGAGCGAGTGGGAGAAGTAACAGGCAGAAGGAATTCTGTTTAAAAAGCCTTGCCCTAACTGGATAAGGGAATTTATTAATTCAATTGATTCAACTTTTCATGCTCATTAAAAACCATACACCATAGACAGTTAAGAGAGGTGGACCCTTCCAATGTCTCCAGTGGCACACAGAGTATCAACACCTACTAGAACATGTAATATTTTGTATTAGACAAGTACGTTAATCAGTACAGATATGAACATCTATATTTAAAATAGCAAAGAAAGATCAACTTTCTCTAAACAGTAACAGTAACCCTTTTCACCCACCAAATCCAAAAAAGCTTTTTGAGTGCACTTTTAGGGTGGTGTGATATTCCACAAAGCAGAACTACACAAAACTTCCAGTTTTCACAGTGTAAATGTGTACGTGTGAAGTGCTGTACGACTGATTCATATCTACAAACTTGACTTAGAGCACTAATTATCCATACTGAGTAACTGAAGCCATTTTCCCTCCACTAAAAATTGAGGCATTCCTCATAAAGCATCTTTCTTCAAAATGGTTATTTTCAAAGTAGAAAAATTTTGTACTTGCATGACAGTTGAGATTGAATCCTGACTTTCATTTTTGCTGTATAATCAAATTGAAAGAGAAGGGGAAGAAAGTTTGGCTTCAGTTAAACAAACAAACCCTCACTTTTGAGAAATGTCTTGTTTTCTGCCTGGTAGCAAGAGTTTGCTTGCAACTTAAAGCTCTGACAAAACTCAAGAACAAAGTCCAGAGCAGTAGGTCCTACATCTTCAGAAACTTTCCTTAGCTCCACCAAGTGACTGGTAGGGCCTATACAGCCCCTCCTGTGGGAAACTCAGTTGGAGGAAGGAACTGATAATGAGAAGACAACAAAACACCTCTCAGGGTTTCCTTAGCACAACAAGGCAGGTTGGACAGTGATGGAATAAGAAATGCATTATTTCAGTTCACTGAAGGACCTTCAGAAAAGGATCATAGAATGATTTGGGTTGGAAAGGACATCAAACCCGCTCTAATCATCCCTACAGGTTCGGCCTCTGTACCTCCCTTCTGTTCCTAGGACATCTTCTCTCTGATCACAACACTGGCTACTACAGCAGTTGTTTGATGTAGTTTGGAATAATCTGTGGGCTGATGAACATTTAAAATGAGGAAGAAAAAAAAAAAAAAAGGAAAAAGTTGTTTCTACCCAAGTTATATTAACACATTATTTCACAAGTAAGAAAGAGAGCAGACATCTTTTACTGCCAAATATATATATATTTGACAGATGTTAGTAAGCAGAAAGAGTGTTACACCATGGATCTGAGAGCAGACACAAACATAAAATTCACATTCTCACTTTTGCATCACTTGTGCCATTAAAACACACACCTGAAGCACATGGGAAGGGGCAGAAATGGGTATTGGGCTCCACAGCAAACAGACATTTATGAGCCACCATGAAAGCAGCCTGGGCTGAGTAAAAAGGCCAATACAAACAAGTCAGATATACAAGGGGCGTGGAAGAGGGTGGTATTGAAACCCAGAGTCAGCACAGAGGAGCTGTTGCTCAGAAGAGAAGTATTGCTACACAGTTTGAATAGGCTTCCTGTGGCTGCCCATGAAGACTAACATCTGGCAAGGCAGCCCGCTGTACTGAAGAGGGAACTCCTTTATCAGGGCTACAGAAAATAGAAACAGCCACAAAGGTGGGAGAGCAGGTTCACAAGCCCTAGCCGAGCTTTTACTGCTGCTCTTAAACTCTTGGACATGGTATCTCAAGCTTTTTTGTCACACAATTCTGTGGGTAGCCTCATATCATATCAGATTTTCTCAAGCCGACTAAAACATGTGAATTCAAAACTCTACAGGGTGTTTTTGCAATGCAGGCAGGCATAGCACCAGTGTATACCAAATGAATCTCCGTTGGGTTTGGCTTATAGTGTACAATAAAATTAAAAAAAAAAACAAGTAATATTTTTGTTTTTCAACGTAGTTTACATAGTAAAAACAGGCAAACCATGTCACTTTTTTAAAAAGTGATAAATTTAAAAACAAGAAGTGAAACAGTGCAGATACCTGAAACTACACCAATTCTGCTTGCTTTGCTACACTACCAACAGAAATAGCTCTGTCCTGTTTAGATAGACTTTGTTTTGTTACATGACTGCATATGCAGCGAAGTGATATCAAGTCCTGAGGGTCCACTCCTTTGATGAGTTAAGCACACAAAGGCCCACATTTTGATGCAATCTGATATCATATATTTAAGTCCTAGACAAACTGCAACTGTGAGGAAGTGATAAACAGAACTTCCTGCACAAAGCTGCCTGAGATAACACTTTCCATGGACTGGAAAAAAAGAGACATGATTGCTACAGAACTAAAAGGGAACTGTTCTGCTCTTAATAAATAACCCTTTCTTTTTCACGTGGCTATTGCAAAAGCCAAGGCACAAGTGACTAAGATTCAGCAAGCAGCTGAGCGGTGCTACTCACACATTTCTGAAGTGATTCTTTGAGGAACTACAGGCAACTCTTTGCTCTTCAGAGACGTGTTCTCCTGAAAGCTCCTATGCTGCAGCTGGAGCCTTGCAACTCAGAAACCTTCCAGCTAGTAATATTCTTACTTCCATTTAAAAACAAAAATCTCTAAAGGAAGCCAACCACAAAACATTTACTCATAAGGAGGAGTAAAGAGTAACTGCTTAAAGAATAAGTCTAGGTTGCCTCCAGTGTAGGAAAAATCCTGTAGAAAACATGACTTGTTCCTTCCCACAGAGTTTCCCCTCAATTTTTCACCAGCATCAACTCAAAATGCAAGGAATTTAATATATTTATAATTTTTTTGATTTTACTTTGTGAATATTTGAGCAGCTGAATTTTCCTCGCAGTAGATCTTGTGGGGGAAATGAGCTTCGACTTGTTCCGGTATAAAGAAAGGGTCTTTGTGAATTTTTGCCTTGAAGCCATTATTCTTATTCTTTCATTCAGTTCTGTGCACATCTTGCTACATTTTCAGCTCATATTGTTTTTTCAAAAGCACAGGCTGTGTAACCAGTCCAGAGAGAAGCAACTGCAGCATATTAAAAAGCAATCAAGCGCTACCAATAGCTGAAGAGTTTTACAACTTCTGCTTCTGTTGCAAATTTATGAAGTAATAGGGGAAACATAATGACAGGCTAAATTAATGCAACAGCTCTGTGGTGATATTCCCAGAGATCTGCCCTGCATTGTGTTCCTTAACACATAAAGAGTCCTAGTATGAACGTTGCTTCTGGTCCCATTGGACTCTGTGTATTGGGGATCAGACCTAAAGCTGACCACAAAGAAGGCACCAAGTTTATGATCTCATAACTGTTGAAGCTGCCATTAGCGTGCTTGTGCTGAGCCTGAGCAAACCAAGACAGAGCCACAGAGAACCCCAAATTATTACATATATCACCAAAACTCTTTTAAAGAGTCTTTCTCACCTTTAACGAGTGGATCGTTTCACCAGTCTGAGTCAGATCACAACCACAGCAGCAATCTTTATGGCAGGCAGGAAAAGAACTGGAGAATCAGATTTGCCCCCGAAGAAACTGTAAGTGGGAACACAACCCAGCAAATGCTAATGACTATGCAGCCAGAGTAATATACTGCAGAAAATCCCAAGCCTTAAACTGAAACCTTTCACACCCTCAATAGATTCACCATAGCAGGAGCTAACCATAATTATTTTCTGGATAGCCTTTTTGTCATGTACTTGAGAAAAGAACCAAAAGTTGTGGCTGACTATCTACTTTCAACGCATTAAGAGAGAATAACTGCCATGGTGGCAGCAACAGGTTAAATAAAGTAAATTAAGCAAACAAGAAAACAAACATTTGCCAATTTTGTCCTACTTTCATTCCTTCTACAATATCTTGAGAATACTGAGAGAGTTTGTAATTAAAGGTAAAGCAAACAATTTTTAATCTTCTAACTTTGTTAATTTTACTTTGAGCATTTGTACGTTCCCACCCCTCAGAGTGATTCCCCCAGCAGGTGAGTTAATATAAATCAGCTGGACAGCAGTTTGCCTTTTTCAGGTATGAGATGTTACTGAATTACTAACCTCACTTCATGAGCTCATGGGCTTCTTGTTCACTTGGGAATTATGGTAGAAAGTCATTGAACAAACATTTTTATCATTATCAGAAAGTTTCATTCTCATTACACTGAGTTATCTTGAAAGCACTATTCAGTACAACATTTGAGTAACTAGTTTATTGTTACTGAGATAGCCTGGTGATAGGCACTTCAGGAAAAAAAAAAAAAACCACCAACTGGAGCAGGCAGTAGACCAAACCAGAAGCAGCAATGCCCTCAGTCTCCTCCTCTTTTACTACAAATGCAATTGAAAACCTTCACAGTGGCAGCAATCTCATGAGTTCTTTATCTCAGCTATGAATTAATTATTGATTTTTCAATTGCAAAAACAATTCAGCAAAGCAGACACTTGTGGCTGCACAGAATGCTCATATGATGTGAATCAGTGGACAGAGGAGACTTGTGCGTCAGCAAGTAATTCTTAAAACAAATAGAATGTCACTTAAATAGTGTAAAAATAACAAATAAAAAACTATTTGATTTTTAGCATTGCTAATGGGATACTGTGCCAACTTTGCTCTGCCTAACAAGTCTCGAGAAGCTTCTCCTGGGAATGTTTACATTGTGTTTCTATCCAGGCCTCATATTTGCTTTGAATTGTGACAACAGTTTGACCGTTTTCATGTTAAAAGCTTCCTGCCTTTGTCATGAAAAGAGCTTTTCATTAATATCTGTAGACAACAGTCAAAACAGGAATTCAGGAATACTGCTGGAAACTGTATGAGGACGTATCTGGAAATGCTTGTTCCCCAGTACCACTCCCACATCACCCCCTGACCACAGCTTCAGCACATCTGGGACCCTGAGCCATACCAAGAAGGAAGTAAGAGAGCCTTGGGGCCCGAATCCAACTGCTGCTGTCTGGGAGGAGGTAGGGTGAGCAGGTGGTGCTGCAGGAGCCTGAAAGCAAAAGACAGAGGAAGCATGGAGAGGGACCCGGGGCAGAAGGACAGGAGGAGAAGGATCTCTCATCCCAACCCTTTTTGGCCTTTTGGCCAATGTTTGTAGTTATGAACTATGTAGTTATATTTGGGGTATAGCCTGAGGAATTCAGGATAAACAGTGGGATCTGTCCCATTAACCTTAAGTACACATTTCAGAGCCCCTGGGAATGTGGAAGTAGTGCAAATAATACAAAGCCAGCTATGCTGGCAGTTACAGAAGATATTTATGCATTTAAAACTTTCAAAAATTATCAATTTTCTGGTATAACAGATGAAGAACAGTTGGCAAGAACACTCACATCCTGTTAAGGTATGAAAAGTAATCAGTGGAAAACATTTTAAAGAGGTCTTTATGCCTATAATATGTGCATACATATGTATATATAGTAAATGTATGTGATGAAATTTTCACATCTGATATTAGTCTGTTTGGGTTTTGATGTTTCTCATTTAACACTGCAGAGCAACTTGGAATTTTCACCACTCCCAAGTCAAATAAATTATTTATGTCAAAGGAACTTGGAATATAATACCTCCCACCTATGTGAAACTCTGTATAAAGGTAAGACCACGTATGGGACCAAAATAAAAACTGGTCAGGCAGAAGTCTGAGTGTCTTTCCCTGGAAGAATTATTTACCTCAAAATGTTAGAGCACTGGAGAGAAATCGGAAAGTCTGATTCGCATCTCAGATTGTCTTAGTTGAGTAATGAATAGTTTGAACTTCCTTTTTTTTTTTTTTTTTTTTTCAGTGTAGTCAAATAATGATTATGCAAAGCGTACAATTCTAAACAGCTAATTAAACAGCAGCCCCACATCTTTACAGCTGAATAAGCAGCTTAAAAAAAAAAAGCCAGAAACAGTGCTACTTATATAACTTCTAAAAAACAGGATCAGCTACTTGTAGTTGTTCACCTCTCTACATATTTTACCTGAGCAAATTGTCACCACCTACAGGACTCTGAGATTTTTCTATTAGAGCATTTTCCGTTTGAAGCTTTCAGGGGAGGTACTCTATTTTCTAATGGAAGCCATCAAGAAAGTATAAAGAGTAATGCAAACAACTGCAATAGATACCAGAGAGCCAAGATGCATCTTCACTCAGGATGAAAGCATAACCAAATTACATAGTACCAAAAGAGACAAGAAAGCCTTACCCTTTTCCAAGGGTAATTTTAAAATGGCCTTCAAGTCAAGTGTGTTTTCTTCCCAGCAGATAAGTACAGAAACTTATGTAATACATTAATTCCCATTTAACTAAGACTCACATACTTTGAGACTCATGGCAATATCTCCCAATAGCTACTAAAAGGCTGCTTTTTGAACACTGTCCTTGAATTAAGCTCGACACCTGAGATTATATAATTCCAGCAGTCTTATGAGAGCTACTCAGTGCAACAGAAGAAACATTCTCCAGAATCAGTGCATTTGTCTGCAGTTCATAAGCAGTGATCTTGACAGTTATTACAGCCTACTCTGATACAAACAAAAGCAGTAGCAGGAGTTATTTTAATGCCTATTTGAAAAGTTCTGTGATCTTCTGGACATCCATTAGTCAAGCATCATTTCTTCAAAGCTCATTAAAAAAACAACCAAATGTTGCAATAAGAGTCACCTTCAGTAGTTTTTAGTACTTTTTTTTTGAAACCTGGAGAGAACCTGAAATAAAACAATTCTTATTCAAGCACCACATTAGTCCAGTCACAGAAGGTTGGTTCCTCAATAATGTAATTTAATGCCTTTAGCTGCTCTTTATACACACTAATGGATGCACTTAACTATGAAAAAACAGACATGGATACCTAGGAACTGTTTTAGTAGGAACAGCACCCATGGTAGCATTTTAATCAGATTTGGAGCTGTTTCTCTTTCTAGTTCCCATTGTTGTAGACAGTTGTATTTAAACTTGAACTCTGAACAAAACTATCAGGCACCTAAAGAATAAAGCATTTTGTCTATAAACATATAGGAGTAATATTTGATTCATATAAAAAAAACAAACAAATAAACAAAAAAAAACAACATAAAACCTGACTTCGTTAGGAAATATTCATTAATATCTTATTTGGATTTGGACACCATCTTCTTAAACCCATCATAACAATTTCATTTTCAGAATCATTTTAGCATTTAATTTTTTGTCCACATTTGCATGTACTTAATGGTGCATATCATCTATTGCTTTTGGGATATACACTAAAAATAATCAAAATATGAAAGCATAAGGTGATTTAGAAATAAGAAAGACAGCGTAAAGCTTTTCACATCTTTTATGACATCAGTGCTACTTTGTGCAATGGGATCAAATATCAGATTTGTACTTCGACAGCCAGCTGGCTCAAGTACTTAGTATTTATTGTCCTGCTATCTCGAAGTGGGCTCCTGAACAGCAGAGAAAACTATGTGAGACATTCTTGAAACTCAGTTTAACTAACTTACTTTCCTATGTCCCCAGGGTGTTAAGTGAAGTCTGTCACTATCCCAGAAAAGTTATTTAGCTCCTCGGCTTTCACAAACTTATATATCCTCATTATCTGCCATTTCACTTGAGGATTGCAGAAGACCTCACCTGAGCCATAGCAGCTAATGAGTTTATGCAGAGCACAGGGATGAGGTGCCAAGCTTGCTCTTCCCCTGGAAAACCATCACTCAGGTGTGGATACAAAGATGGCTGTCAGAGAATTATCTGGACATAGTTTTTCCACTACTTCAAACCACTTCATCAGAAAAAGGCTGACTAGAGGATTTCTGCAAATGGTTGTCTCCCGAGACACTGATTTTCAGGTCACAAAACTTTCATCACAGGCAAAATTCAGCATTAAAGAGCATGGTTAACTGGAGCATCATGAGGTTACACAGGGCTCACTGATGTTACTCACCAGTCTCTGGAGAAGCACCGTTGAAACTTAGGCTTCCTGAAAATGTTGGCTAGTGAGCATAGATGCTGTGGTGAAAGGGGCAGCCTTACCGTTGTTCAGGTGTGTGATCTTACTGCATCTCTGAGAGTGAGCAGCCATGAAACCACATGACCAGTTAGATCAGGAAACCAGCTGAAATTAATCTGAAAAAAAAAAAAAAAAACACCCACAAATAAAGTGGTTAGTTTTCACTAGCATGAGTTATCACGAAGTGTATGGAGACAATGACTGGGGAGAGAAGGACCAGAAAATCCCTTTTGACTGCAAAATGTCTTAAAGCAATGACAGAACAATTAGAAGGGGATTGTAAGCTACCACAAGCTTGTAGGAGCATTTACAAGAATATAAAACTGGGCTGTTTAGAAATAATATATTGGCCATATGCTTCTACACTGTTTCCTGATGAGGATTCTAAAAATTCAGTGAAGCTCACAAACAACTCCTTGGTAGATATCATCACTCCAGCTTTACAGGAATGAATCTAAGGGTGAAACATGGGTCATTTACTTGAAACAAAAAGCAAGTTTGTGGAAGACAAACGGAAACAAAAATCAAAAACACCAATTCTTGATTCCCATCACTATGTTAATCAATATACCAATTGTGACCAACTTGCGGAACATTAAGAAATGCCCCCCTGAGTATTTGCTATGAGTTAGGCAAATGAGCAGCTGTGTCACCACACCAGCACTTGCATGGCTGCACTGAACAGCACATCCCACAGTGGCTGGTGAGCTGAAAGCCCAGAGGGAAAAAGGCAGGAACAGAGGAGGGAAGGCAACTTGAGAAAGACACAGGATAGGAATTAGACATGGAAATGAAACCAAGAGATTTTAACAGCAGGTTCTCAGGTGTTCATGAGCTTGCACAGGATCTTCCTTGCCATGAGATTTAGAAGGGAGCCAGTGGTTACTGTGCTGTCAATAAGAATGTGTATCGCCCCATGTGCCTACTGTTTGGTTATAATTCCTCCCAGCTAAGAGGGAAAAAAAATAATACTACCAAACTAATACTATTGGAGAAGGAAAAGAGATTTTACTGCACTTCAAAAACAACACATTACATAATGGTAAAATGATCTTTTTCCCTTCTTCGGAGCTTGTATGAAGCCATGCAAAAAACAGTTATTGTAGACTTTGGCATTTCCTTAAGCTTTATACGCAAATGTAGAGCATTGCTTTCTCCATAGAGTAATAGAAAACAGATTAACACAATTTAAAATGGTTCCTAACCCTGATGTTCCTTTATACCACTTTGGATTTGCACAAATGATGGCAGAAGCTGTGGGGCAATGGATATTCATACCTCACCTGTTTTTGTTGCAGATGCTAGTTGGCTGTTAAGTATTTTTATCTTGTGGTTTTATAGCCTCCTCTACAACAAATAAGCAAGAAGCCTCTGTCCTCAAAACCATGAAGAATGGAGAGTTTACACAGGCCTTTGAAAGATAGCAAGATCTGATGAGTACACAGCAAACAGGTCCACCTTGTAAGATTCAGTGTGTACTGCCTCATTTTTTCTTATGTATTAATAATGTTGTTTATAAAATGTTCTTTTCTGAGTTAGAGAAGTCATCTTAACTTAAACTGTAGTAAATTCTGTTTTAGCCTCTTCAATATTTCTAGTTGCAATGCTTAACTTTAAAGAGGCCCAAACTCTTCATTCAGTAAGCTACGAATGAACCATGTTCTGTTCCTCCAGACCTTATGTGGTCTCTACTGCTCACTTTAAAAAAAAAAAAAAAAAAAAAAAAAAAAACCTACTCAAAGTGGAATTTTTACAGGAATTTGTTATAGCCTAATTTCAGGTGCATTATCACAAATTCAGAAGAAACATCCCAAAAGCAGTAGAGGACCTTAACACTGCCACCACCATTGCATACACACCAGAACATAGCCCTCTGAAGAACATCCTGAGGCCAGACATGGGAAATGCTTAAAAGATCCAACACAACCCAGCTATTCCAGGCAGGAGTTTCTCCTGCGCACTATAAACAATATACTAAAGGCAACTTCCTTAAATGTTTGCTGGAAAGCCATTTATGTCATTATTACAGGCATTTCCCTCAACGTTTTCATCTTTGTTGTTTCAATCTTTGATAGTGCGGGAAGGAAATCAGACAACTTGTGGATATTGCTGCTACCCTTCAGTTCTACTGATAATAGTTGTGGAAACATACACATAAGAATAACTTCCTGAATGAAACAATATTTAGCAGGTATAGAAGCTTTTGTTCTTGTTGTCTAGAGAATACATAGTTTTGCACACTTACGGTGACTTTTAAATGCCCACAAGAAATACCACTATAACACATTAATATTCTCTTTGAGAAGAAAAAGAAAAAAGCAGTCAAATCAAGTGCTGAGCTTCTCCCCCCCCCCCCCCAAGCAAATAGATACACACTAGCTCCATTCTACTTAAGCCAGTTGTGTCATAACAGGAAGCGTTACTCATTCTAAATTTGATGTTGAATTATTTTTCAACAACCAAGATGAGTACTGGACATAACTTCATTCCTTTTTGCTTCTTAATCTTGAATAGATTTTTCAAGACAAGAAGCTGGCATGTCTGCCAGCTGAAACACATTCATTTGCAGAAGTGAAAATACAAGGCTTTTATTTTTCTGCACTCCAAATTAAAGAAATTCTGAGTGATCTGATTGAACACAAGCATTAAAAGAAAAGAAGTTCCTAAAGAGTATAGTCATAAAAACAAGAGTTTGCTTTGATTGTTGTTTTTGTTTTGCTTTAAAGTAAGATATGTTTCCTTAAGTGGCTTATATTCTTATAAGATAACAATAACCTTAGAAATAAGAATGGCCACACTACCAAAAATAGCAGATACCTACTATGGTGGATGACAAGGGAAGAGAGCAAAAATAAACCAAAATGATGGATAAAAACAAGGCAAATCGAATCAGTTTTTTACAACTTCTTACACTTACCTGTTTCTTTAATCATAAACTTTAAAAAACAATAAGGACCTCACCGCTGTTCATTTCAGGTCTTCAGAATGGAGGCAAGGAAACAAAATGGGCCAGAGGAAGTAAACTAAGTAAGAACAACAAGATAACAGGTGTTTCTTATTTTTGTTCATGGTAGGTGAGTAGTAGGCTCGTCATTTCCTGAGACAAAATTCAGACCGCGATTTCTAAGAAATCAGAGGCTTTGTAACTTTATTAAGCTTAACTTCTCCTTTCTCTGTGCTGGAATATGAAGAATTATTGGATAATCATACTACGCTACCTAGTTAGCAGTTTGGAACTTTAGGATACACAGCCTACTGCAAAGTGCTCTCTAATTTTAAACTTGTGCAAAATTGGCAGTACTTGTGTTTCATAATGGGTTAAAGACAGCAACATCTTTCCATTTCAGGCCACTGTGTAATATAGTTATCCAGCTCATCTGAACTGGGTTGAGTCTGACAGTGAATGGAAACAAAGCATACAATCTGATGCAATAAACAATGCAATACGTGGAGTTGGCGACACCTTTCTGTGGCACCTGGGTCAAGTCTGTGTCTCTTTGCTCACTTTCCACTGAGTAAACAGATGCCAGAAAGGTGATTCTCTGTGTGTCAACCTCACACGTGAAAGTTGCTGAGACAGTGAGATCACAGAGACTTTGCTTTGATGTCATCCTGGAAAAACAGAAATACTGAATCAAAGGTGTCAGGACTTTCATGTGAGTAAAGAGCCAAACCCATGAGCTCAGTGGCCTCTGCTGACTGGCACTGATGAGTCCTCAAAAATTGATTTTGCAGCAGCTCAGCAAAGGAAAGATGCTGTGCCACTGGTCCCATGGGCTCAGCAGGTTCTCATGAGGATGTCATGACAGCAGAAGTTCTTACCTTCAACCCACTACACCGCTATTTTTGCCTCAACAGCAGCTCAGGAAATTAAGCTGTGTTAGAAAAGTGGTAGCATCACCTGGAAGACCTGGGGCACAGGAACAACGCAGCCACCTCACCTTGTCTAACACTGCACACAGACTGGCACAGGCAGGAGGGGAGCTCTTCCTACAGCATTTTGAAGCACAGGTGCCTCCTTTTCCTCCAGGGCTGACCCCCAGAAGATCTCTTCACCCCCCGCCAGGCCTTACAGGAAAGAGTGCTTGTTGCCACCTCATCGCTGCCACTGCACACAGCGAAGGCAGAACCTCTGTGCCCCTGGGGACAGCAAGGAGGGCGGAAGGCCAAGCCCAGGGAAGGAAAGAGTGGGTGGACTGAAGAAGGCACAAATATGTCTGACTCTCCACCCACCTTCTAGTGGGGCTTACTGGGGAAATTGTTTTGTTTGCCCACTGTTTACTCTTCCTGAAGCAGAAGGAGAAATTAAAGCCTGTAGCTGAAATAGTCACTGGACAAAGCCAAGGATGACTGTGCCTTAAAGGCTATGGTGGGTGGATGCTGACAACAAGGAGCAGAGACGTGTGACAACTGAAGTTCTTAAAACACGTTGTGTCCTCAGCTTTGGGACATCTTGGCAGAACAAAAGCCGTCAGGATTAGAACTGTTTTTTCCTTTGTTTTATAAGGGAAAGTGGTCATTATACCTGTGACATAAAAAGTATCATTTTCAATCTCCTAAGCAGCTGACTTTCCACATACTTTCTCTACCAAAAGTCAGTCACTAAAGCCGAATGCTCATCTTACAATGTTGAAGATATTGGCTTCTATGGGAGCAACCATACAAAAAAGAAGGATAAGCAGGATGCTTTTTCCATGTCACTGGACTGACTGTCCTTATAGTTCTGGACAAAGTTCCGACCTGATCTGAAGGTCTGCAATTCATTTCATTTAGGTAACCATAAAGCGTGCTTCCTAAATACACACCCATTTCTTATTTCTAAGAGAGTTGCCACACTGGGGCTGTCACACATCTAATTCAGTAATTAGCCAGCATTTTTTCAATGAATCTACTAGTAAATCCTTCATCTTCCAGAGCAGGTCAGTGACTGGGCACTGGGCATCAGAGCAGCACTTCTTACTCATATTGCAGTCAGCTTTTCATTACCATCTTACCAATTCTGGTAAAACTAGTCAAGCTTTCTGCAAGCAGAGTTTGACAAAATAAAAGATGCTACAGGGGAAATGGAAACCCCCAGGTTCTTTTTTCCCCTCCTCAGGCTTTCACAGCTCTCCCTGTGGTGCTGCAGCTCCTACAGTATGTTGAGCAATGAGTTGCTCGTTCCCACAACCTCACCTGTATTACAGCACACACCAGGAGGTGGTTTCTGAACTACATAATCTTATGGAACCAGCTTATCTCATCAAACAGGGGCCACATAATTCATCTATTTTTGTGGAAAATGCTGTGGAGATTTTTGCTATCTCTTTGCAAAACAAGCAAATAAACAAAAAGAAGGGAAGAAATGGAGGTCTAGCCATAGTTTTGACTGCACCTTCAGCTCCCTCAGCAGTGGAGCAGCAGTTAGATAACTTTGGGCCACTTAGTCAATTTATTTTTGTACCATCAAAACCTGATTTACGGTCTGAAACTTATCTACTATAATACAGCCAAATGAACTTGAATGATCAACATATTATAAAATGATGAAAAACAAAGGTTTTAAGGAAATGACAACTGACTCCTCTCCATAGCAGCACAGTGCTACAAGAGACAGCTGTAATGGCACAAATGGGTGGTTTATCAGCCTTCTGCCAGGGACTGACAAAATCATGTCAAATGAGGCATTAAAGCTCTGCTTTAGGAAACTGTGATAAATACCAGCTAATCTACTGACATAATATATATTGAGTCAAATATTTAGTTTTGCATTAAATCTAAATCCAACATTAGAGCATTTCCTCTTGATTAAAAAGGATAAAATGTAGATGTTATTTTATGCTCCAGTTCCCACATCTAATTAATGCTCTGCATTCGGAGCCATTTCTAACATTACAAATGTATCAGCAAACATGCCAAGGAAAGGGGGGAGGCACAAGGGAAACAAGTGCAAAATCTATATGCTTAATTCATATTTCTCCATTTGCTGTAGCTAACATGTTATTGCAGAGACTATTTGCAGACACTTGCCCTGCTAGTGAACAGCTAACTTCCCTGATTGCTTGTATAAACAGTCTTCTATATGTGGAGACAGACACTGTAGGAGAGCACATCGTTAATTTAATTTTAGTATCATTGGGAATTAAACGTGGGACATTAATTGGTTCACAGTAAACTTTGTCTAGGCAATATAAGCATTGTACAACAGTACTGACAAGAGCCTTAATAATTATAAGAGATCATATTAAAAGGTTTGCAAGAAAGATTATTTTCTTGGGAATGAGATGTACATAATTAGGGAAAAGATTGCTGCCAAGATAACAGAAAACACTTCACTGTTTTTGTATCTTATATTATTGACCTTAATGGGCATGAAGAAATCCTGATTTAAAATTTATGTATATTTATAGGGTATTTATTGCCTATTCATGTCTAGAAATAGAAGGCAGTATATCCTCAAGAATCACTGAGATATCTCCATTCCTTATGCATTGTATTCACAGCATGACATGTGAACTGATTGCTGTGAAGCAGCAATTTGTTAATGTGTTGTGTTATCAAATACTTTTACTGTCACACTCTTGTTGCAGTTTGACAAACTCTTCATCATAATTACTCCCTTTCTAGAGAACATTTTAGAGAGCTCAGGGGCAAGGAGGTTGTGGCGAAGTGGGGGTCAGATAACAGCAATAGGATGAGAGATAATGTCTTTCAGTTGCACCAGGGGAGGTTCAGATAGGATATTAGATATTATAACATTTCTTCTCAGAAAAAAAATTGGCAATGCACTGGAACACACTGCCTAAGAAGGTGAACACCCTGGAGGTGTTCAAGTAGGTATGGCACTGATGAACATGATCAGTGGGCATGGTGAGGGGAGGGGTTGGTGGCTGGACTTGGTGATCTTAGAGGTCCTTTCTAACCTTAATGCTTCTTTTCTATTCTATAAAGTCCAGGCTGTGTAAGGCAGCGTGAGCTCAAATGAAATGAAATGGAATAAAACAAAGTAAGCAACCACCCAGCACCTTCATTTTGCATGATGTGTTGATTTATTGAGTCAAGAAAATGTCTCCATAGGCTGACAATCCCAGCTAACTCTGCCACAAAAATCAATAGTAGATACATCCCAGGGCATCTGGTATATCTCAGAGTACTGGAGAATCAGCTTCTCATGCTATAAAATAACAGGAGAAAGAAATAAAACACAATACTTAAGAGAGCTTAAAAACATGGACTTCAGAATTAAATATTTTGTATAGTCAAGAAAATAACACCCTGACTCTGCACCTTCTTCCCTCACCAAACTTCTCTACAAAGGATTCTTTTAAATGCACAGCCTTGTATCAAAACATACCCATCAGGTTCAGGCTAGAAAATATTTGAGAAGCTGTATGAACTCCACTGCCCATGACCACCTTGCAATATGCTCACAGACAGCAGAGGCAGCCCTTGCCACTCATGGGTCCTTTGGGGAGGGTGGCTGCACACACAAGTGATATTCGGATACGACTCACCCTTTTGGTGTATAGTTGCTTTTATTCTGTTTCCTCAGTATCTTATCTCAAAACCACAAAGACTTTAAGCAGAATCATAGTTTAGAAAAGCTCTGCATGTGCTTGGCCTTGGGCACTTTCCTGAGTTGGCTGTTTGCAGAGCTTTCCTGTGCAGGGCAAACAAACAAAAAGCATATCCCAAATAATTTTGTAGTCTAAAAAATCTAAATCAACTCTATGATACATCCTTCATGTTTTTTTCATGCCATAGCTTTGTGCTATGTGTTTAAAATACCTTCTGGCACCTGCCATGATATGAAGGAAGATTCCCTGTGAATTGTGTAGGTCTTCTAATCCTGGGGCTTTGTTCAGAACCAGTTGCAAATTTGTATAATTGCAGAACACAGCAGTGGTGGTTTCTTCTGCCTCACACTTTGCAATTCAACTGGGTATCTAAAAAAAATAAGTAACAGGCATACAGGTGGCTCAGGGACTACTGAGACATGGGAACTTGGAGTTACTCTAGACAA